TCGTTGACATCCTTGCTCCTGGTGTCTCCATTCTCTCCACCTGGAACAACGGTGGCACCAACTCCATCTCCGGTACTTCCATGGCTACTCCTCACGTTGCTGGTCTCGCCGCCTACATTCTCGGCTTCGAGGGCAAGAAGACTCCTGCCGCACTCTCCAGCCGCCTCACCACCCTGTCGCTGAAGAACAAGATCTCCGGTGTTCCTTCCGGCACGGTCAACAACCTTGCCTTCAACGGCAACCCCAGCGGTTAAGCATTTCTTCTTCTTGGCGGCGCTTTATCAGCATGTTGCACCAGTTTTGCCTAGTTTTGCATTGACAGAAGTCGAAGATTCCCTTCCTTCTTTTCTTATGAAGTCATGATCGCGGTAGTTGTCTCTTGGTAGTCGATAGCACCAATGGAGATACATTCTATGAAGTTACTCATCCAAAACGCACCCAGTGCTGTGTGTTCGCACCGATTGCTGATATGTTGCCCCATAATTTCGATGGCTGGTCAACGATGGGAATACAGAATGCCGTCTCCTCACTACGGCATTTGGATGCGGAGATTGACATCACGAAAACGGCCTTTGTGATACCGTCACTAATGATCTTGTGGGGGTGGCTCACGCTAAGCCTCATCATCACGACTGTACCAGACGCCCGTGTGTCACGATGGGTCATGCATTGTTTCTGCGGAAGACTGTTGACCCCGCGGCGTCGTAGGTGGCTTTGAGAGGCGTCGCCTTGCGCGTTAGCATAACGGTGCTGCGTCCACATGCCCTGCATCGTCTTGCATAGGTAGCTGGGCTCATGCAGGGTCTAGCGGTACCGTCTGAGCAAACAAAGAAAGTATCTTTCCTGGCCTTGCGAAGATCTGTCCTCCAGAGACGTGCACATGGATATCTCTCAGTGTATCGGTCGATGAGACACCGCGATCTTCGACCAAACAATGGTTACTCCTAAACAAAGCTTCCCAGACCTACACTTCCCCCGTCTTTGTCTAACCTCTGCAACCTCGGACGACTAACAATAGCTCGGTCAAGTACCACGCATCATACACAGCTAGCTGCATGCGGTACCAGAGGCTGAAGCCTTCCCCGCATTGTCAAGGCTATATTGGCACAACGTTGATCAGCATGGTTCATCGGAAGATTCAATCTCGCCCCGCAATTCCAATTAGGAGATATTGCGCTTAAGGCTGCAGCTGCCATCTTCCTTCCGCCAGCCGCCTCGGCGCACGGACCAAGGTGAAGCTCGGAACGCTTCCAGGGTTTGAGCGATGAGGCGCGCCACCAACTCCATCATCCAACTGCCGCTCCGCCTCTCCAATCTGCGCGAACCATCTGGAGTAGCGATACGACGCGGAAATTATTTGAGCTGCCGGATCATACGCAGGATGAGACGACCGCAGAACAGCATCAACGCTTTTGGCCACGTATGACGCGTTTCTTCGCGTTGTGGGCTTACGGCCGTAGGAAGCTCGCGTCGCGCCGACGCGCTTCAGCGTTTCGACAACGCCTGCGAACTCCCACGCACGAGAGCAGACTGCGCGGTGAATATCGCCCAAAAGGCCAATAAAGTATGTACGAGTATACAATACTCACTGCACCTTAGGGCATTCAGTAGAACAAAGACTGCAAGCGTTGCTAGCATGCACGCGCGCGCTGTCAACAGCGGACCATGCCGGTAGCTCGCACGACGACCGATGCTAGCACCGTATCATAGAACAAGCGTATGAGACACTGTCATCGACATTCGATGAACGCTACTGCTCTCACACCTTCGGCCATACTCCGTTGGCCTCCTGGTTCATCGGAATGTTCGGTCCCAAGTCTCGGCCAACTGGAGTATGAGCCTCTAGATGCTGGACATGGCGAGATACATCTTGTTGAGCTCGTGCCAGTGGCCTTGTAGGATAATATACAGACCAATCACATTCGATCAATATCCCCGGAATGCATTTGGATGATGGAGCCACCTCATGCAAGAGAAAAATTGAACAGGTCTGCAGACTACATTAACATAAATGCATGTAAAGTAGATAGCTTAACGTTAATATAGGCACTATAGTATTTAGTTCTATTCTAAATTAACGTAGTTCTAAGTTAATATTAACTCTATAGTGTTGAGTTCTTTTATATATTACCGTAGTTCTACGTTAATGTAGTCTCTACAGTGTTTGAATTTTTCTTAGGTTAGCGTGGAGCGAAGTCCGAAGCTCTTTGGTGGACGTGGAAATCGACATATAGTTCTCGCGCGGTGCTAGTCAACTGATGCTCTTATCTTATCCTCGAACTGGGCCTCAAGGCCTTCGAATCATCGACCAACTGCTGGCACTCTGAATTGACGCTGTGTGTCAACCGAGTTGAGCGCCGCGAAAGATCCTATGCAGTCCAATGCAAGGGTGCTTCCACAGTCAGCTTACTTCGCGTTTCTGGTGTTACACAGCACTATCACATGTGCGTTCAACATTTCTGACCACGCCGCAACTTATGGTCTAGTCTGAATCCGTATTTGTCGTCATACCCACTTCATGGTGGGTCTACCGAGGTCCCCAAGAGCCAGTATCGTACGAACCTTCAAATGCCCATTTCACTACCAGTGTACAAAATCTCCAGTCCACGTCATCTTCTACCAAACATCTTAGGATTATTGCACCAGTACACGCCATGGACTCATTCAACGCAGGCGACATCACCCACCAAAATGGTGAGGTCACGCACTACTACGAAGGAGGCTCGGCAGACGGCACTCCCCTAATCTTCATCCACGGCTGGCCCGACATCGCAGAATCATGGAAACACCAGCTCGCACATTTCGCTGCCTCATCAAAGTACCGTGTCATTGCACCTGACATGCGCGGCTACGGCGACTCAACGGCACCCAAGAAGAAGGAGTCTTACCGTCTTGAAGTCCTCGTACCCGAGCTCGCTGAGTTCGCCTCAAAGCTAGGCATCAAGAAAGCAGTATGGATCGGTCACGACTGGGGCTGCGGCGTCACCAACGCACTTGCCGCACACTACCCTGAACTCTTCATTGCCATGGCAAACCTCTGCGTCCCATACCGAAGCGTGGAGCTGGGCCTCGAATACCTCAAGAGCACCATCAATCGCGACCTCTATCCCGAAAGCGAGACCGAGTGGGGAAACTGGGAGTACATGCGATACTACGAGGTGAAACCCGAGCAAAGCGTCAAAGCGTTCGACGGCCACTTGGATGTCATCACCAAGATCTTGTATGTGAAAGGCGATGACAGTAAGTGGGGCCAGCCCTCACCCACAAGCCGTGTATTGAGAGACGGAGGTTGGTTCGGTGGTCATCCGGAAAACCTTCCAGATATCCCACTTTCGTACACATCGTTAGATGAGCATCTTTACGAAAGCCTGCTGAAGAGTAAGAGGAAGCATGGGTTCTTCGGTGCGAACGCATACTACTTCAACCACGAAGCAAACGTCGAGTATGCGAAGAGCCAGAAGAACGATGGTGTGTTGGAGTTTCCGTTCCTGTACATTGATGCAAAGTACGATGCTGTGTGCTCGCCTAGTGTGCAGCCAAAGTTGGCGGAGAGGATGAAGCGGGATGTGAAGAATATAACCTATGAGACTATTGAGTCGTCGCATTGGGTACAGTTGGAGAAGCCGAAAGAGGTTAATGAGGCGTTGGAGAAATGGTTGGCTACTTTGTGAGGCACCCGAAGGTGGCAAACATACGATAGACTGTATGGCTTTTATAATAGTCGACCTTGCGCTGGCGTATCCAAAAACACCAGACTTGGTGTGTTGATATCTGTAGCTGTTAGGGAATTGAAGCTTGTCTCTCAATCAACTCGAAAGATGTTCATTGATGAAATGAATCGCCACAGCAGGAAGCACGACCTTCGACTATCTTAATAAACTGTGTACTGCAAGGCTACAAACCTTGCGCGACCATGTTCCCGACCGTATGGTTTAGCCAACACAGTTGCGCACCTGCCAGTACTTTTGACTAGAGACTGCAGAATCTTGCCAGACATCATGCGCAAACCCGCGATCCTGCCAAGGGATGACTGTCAACAAAACCGATGGACTGTTGGTGCGGACACGCTCTGTCAGTCGTACCAATACTCTCTTTGACAATCGCCGTATGCGCATGCACCCAATGAGTCCTTACACCCCACGACTCGTTGGCAGACCCATCGACATTTCCCAGTGCATCGGCAATCCAAAGGGTAACTCTGGTGCTCTTGATAAGAGTGCTTGTTCTATACCAGTCGTCGATGTCTCACGACAAGACGCTGAAAGTTAGCGCCCACCGGGTACAACGACAACATCATGTAGGAACCCGCATCATAACAGACCACATAGCACAGCGCTTCGCTAGAGGTAACACGGCCTTTAACCGGTTCTTTGTCCAAGCCCATTGGGTCTCAGACAACTTCCTTCCCGTGGTCACGGTCCGTTAGTGCTGGATCTGGACTGGACCCTACCCTCTGGTTATCTGGACGCCATATACCCCTCAAGGTGACTATGTACCATCCGCGGGAAACACCAAAGCTCTGATAGACCTATTGTGCGATCTAAACAACCACAGCTCTACACGACTGAGCATCCGGCCCGTCGAAATAACGCCAGACGAGTAAGATCAAAGGACCGTGAAGCGTGCACCCATGCCATCAACCCATGGACCAGCAGCATGCGCGCTGTCAGATAACGGTATCTTTCGTGCTCTTGTTGGTGTTGCAAAACAGCATGCGCTCGCCACAGAGCATGCCCTAACGTGGTCCGTGAGAGGTTGCACTGCCTGTGCGTACGCGCGAGCGCTATTGCTAACTGGTCCTTCGAATTGCGCCATTGGCTCTCGAAGGAGCCGGCCGTCGTTGATGCTGGTATAGGTTGTACGGCATTTGTATTTAAGCTTCGGTTCTGCCGCTGATGCAGGTACAACTCAACGTGAAGGATCCGACCTCTCACCTTTTCTCTGAAACCTAAACCCTTGCTCATCCCTCCCAGCATATTCGATTCGAACGGCTCCGAAAAATGTATACTCCAGTATTGCTCGCTCTTATCTCGTTGGTCGTTGCTGCCCCGTTGACCAGAGTCGATGGCGAAGATGCCGTCGCCGGGAGATGGATCGTCAAGATGAAGGGCGACGTAGCGACGCAAGCTCACGACGACTTGGTGGCATCCATGTCTACCAAACCCGACTACGAATACGCAATGCCTGGATTCAGAGGATTTGCCGGAAGTATCTCCGAGGAAGAACTTGTTCGACTCCAGGCTTCTGAGCATGTAAGCTATACGCCTGAATTAATGTACCTGAACTAACCTGATCAGGTTGAGTATATCGAACAAAGCGCCAAGGTCCATAGCAATGAGATCGTGCAACAGTTGAACTCTACGTGGGGTTTAGCTCGTATCTCTCATGCCGAGCCGTATCAAACGAGTTATCTATTCGATTCCAGTGCTGGGGAGGGTACATGCGCGTACGTTACCAACCGTATTCGCGCCTATGTGAACTTCGCTCACAAATCGACCGCAGATACGTCATTGACACAGGCATCGAGGTTGAACATCCAGAATTTGGAGGGCGTATGTACGAACCGTTCGGCTTGAGAGATACGTGCTAACGAATTGAAAGGGGCTTTATTCTTAGCTGACTTCAGCGGTGAGGACACCATGATCGACGCCATGGGTCACGGAACTCACGTGGCTGGTACAATCGGCTCGATGACTTGGGGCGTGGCAAAGAAGACAACGCTGCTCGCTATCCGTGTACTGGACTCGTACGGTTCTGGTACAACCGAAGGCGTACTTGCGGGTATGGAGTATGTTGCTACCGATGCAGCAAAACGTAGTGAGGCTGGAGAATGTCCCAACGGTTTCGTGGCCAACATGAGTCTTGGAGGGCGTAAGATGCAGGCCCTGAATGATGCTGTGAGTAACCCATTCCGTCTTTTATCAGACATTCAGCTCACAACGATCTAGGCCGCTGCCATCGTTGCAGCGGGAATCTTCCTTGGTGTCGCAGCGGGCAATGAGGGACGCGACGCTAAATACTCGTCTCCGGCATCTGAACCTAGTGTCTGCACCGTGGGTGCTACAGCCATTAACGATACTCTCATCGAATGGTCCAACTATGGGCCTATAGTCGACATTCTGGCACCCGGCGTTGAGATCACCAGCACTTGGATCGGCAAATCGATCGATACGATTTCTGGAACTGTAAGTACACTCCCAGATAAGTGTCGGTGTGACGCGCGCTGACTATCCGCCCTCACGTTCAGAGCATGGCAACCCCTCATATCGTTGGTTTAGCCGCGTACTTCATGGGTCAAGGATGGCCGGTGGAAGGGTTGTGCGAAAGCATGGCGGGCGTCGCGACAAAGGGCGCGATCGATGAAAGTACTCTCCATGATAGCACACCGAATCTTCTAGCTTTCAACATGGCCGAAGCATCCCAGCAGTACGGCAGACGCACAAAGCGGGTCGCGTAGAGTCGTCAAAGTGCATCATCGGCTGGAAATGTCTGGCATGAGGATCCGGTAGTATAGTCTTGATAAAGGGGAGACCCTGGGAAGCAATGTCGAAACGTTGATAAGATTGACCTTGTTCATTAGCGCATGCACATAGATCGTGCGGATCGAGCCGTGCGCGACAGCACCGGTCATTGAGACGGGAAGATGCATGAAGCTGACCTGCCGTGCCGTCTCACGTCAAGTATGTCAGCCTCATCGGTGGTCAGATCCCACCTATGGCGAACCAGATTCGCCAGTGAAAGCCTCCGATCTCAACGGTTGTCGCAACTGATGCGCCATGCATGGAGCCCTAGATCTCAAACTCAAAGCGGTGATGTCGCCCAAGCCTGCCACGCCGATCGTCACTGCACTAGTCAGCTGAATCAGCGCGCCCGGCCACTCATGAGGCGTGACATCATAAAATGCGGGGTAGAGACTTGCGATAACAGGTTAGCTTGTCTGCGAGCCCGACACTTTGCAGAACCTCCAAGCCTTCCAAGAGCACTGCCCTCACCTGAGCTCTTCTCTATCCCGCTCCATATCTGGCCCATTGGCATCCTCGGACCTCAAACACGCATCATCTTTACTGGGGAGACAGGGCCACTCAAGAAGTCATGGCGTCATACTTCGACCTCCAGCCGCAGAAGGCGCCGCCAGCTACGAATATAGATCAGATACCTCAAGACCAGCGCAAGCAACTCGGTCGCATGAACAGTTTGATGTCCCCAGCAGTCACTCAAATATTGGAAGGTTTAGGCGACGAAGGATCGGACAGTGATAGCAGCGAAGAAAAAGACCCATCCGAAGAAGAAGATCAACGTGCCGCTCAACAACACACTAAGCCAGCACTCGACCCCCAGAAATTTCGCCAAGACAAGCAAAAGCACGTCGCTGCCCAGGCGCCTCGCCCTTCATCTTTATCACCAAGCAGAAGTTCCCTGAAGACGACCAGCAAAAACCCTGGCCATTCTAAGCCGTCTTCGGCGCATGGCAGCGGAGATAAGTCCGCAAAGTCCAGACAAAAACAGCCGCACATGGCACGATTCCATTCCCTGCGCAGCATGCTTTTCCAACAGAGGATTCAAGACCAGATGAAGACTGCCACGCAAGAAGATTGCCAGCAGGAGCAAAATGCGGCCGACAAATGGCGGTCTCAACACGCCGAACGCCAGATGCATCACCCGGGAACAACCGACCAGGACGCTTCAGGAAAAGGTGGAATTGGAAGTAGAATTCGGATGACAGTAAGACGGATGACTACCAAGGACGCAGGGAGCATGGAGAGGATTAGGGAGGATGGTGCGCCGGTCGAGTTCAATGATCGCGCATCAACAGCTTCCTCTGACAACGAGAAAGATCAACGAGAAGCATCGACGACTCGTTATGAAAGTGACAATGAGAGCATCGATCATTCCGATGTGGACGAATTAGTACGATGGGTTAGCCGACGAGATCCCCCTAGCGATGGTGAACGACGAAAGGGCGGCGACGTGGTGGAAGCCAAAGAAGACAGTGGCCATGAGAGCCTGGGGCCATCAGACGTTGAAGACCTTGTTCGCTTTGCCAGCAGGAAATCTGACGCCAAAGAGACTGCCGTATTGAACGACGCACATTCAGGATACAGCGACGCATCAACCGAATCCGACAGCGAACTCAGAGAAGTATCCTCAGACGAGGAAGAAGACGCAGACGACCTCGTACGCTGGATATCGCACCGCGACGGTCCCAAAGCCGGCCCCGTACGCCGCAACCTCCAACGACCCGAATTAGATTCCGACGTAGGCGAGCACTATGACTCCGACGTCCCTGAACTAGGCCGCTGGTTCAAGCGTCACGACGGCACGAGCGGCGAATCCGCGGCTTCCACTCCAGTCAAAGAAACTTTTGACGAAATCGACGAAGAAGAACAGCGAGGCCGCCCCCGAAGCCGCGAGTCCATCGAGCCCATCAAAGAAAAACGCCACATCACCGACGACGACGTCGACGAGCTCGTCCGCTGGGTCAGCAGAAAAGACTCCAAACAACAAGACTCCCTCGGACCCGTTTCTGAAAACCCAATCGACCGTCTTAAGCGCGAGGAGGAAGAGAAACAAGCGCAAATCGGCATGAGTGTCGATGACGGCAGTCTCTCACACGCCGATCTGCAAGAAGTCGTAGAGCACGCAAGGAAAACGAGCGCTGATATGGTCAGCCCGCCGCCTGCATCACCGTTTGCAGTCGAGACGGGCGACTTGCGGGTGCTGAGGGATGAGAAAACCAAGGCGACACCTCTGGAGCGCGATTCGCAGCGTGATTTAGACGGAAAGAGGGAGAATCTTGATGAGAAGAAACAGGAGCTGGGTATGAGTCTTGACGATGAGAGTTTGAGTCATAATGACGTGGCGGAGTTGATTGAGCATGTTAGGAAGATTTAAGAGAGTATGTTCGTGCGCTGGAATCAGCACGGAGGGATCTAGGAACCAGTATTTATGTTATGAAGGATTCGCGAAAGTGCGGAAGCTACGGATGTCGATGTGGGTGTGTGGGTCAACCACGGGTATCTGACGGGTATCTGGGAGGATCTATTTCTGTTAGTCTGGGGTTTAGCACGTCGTTTTATACCAATTGAAGATTCCATTTCGAACTGAATCCCATGACTAAAACCGACATTGAACATGCAAAAGAATATGGTATTCATACAACATCAAACGAGAAAGAAAAAAGAATCTATATCGCGAATGCAACTCCGAAACCCCTTCAAATGCAAGACAACCACACCTCAGCCCCGACTCACTCAATCCAACTTCAGCGGCTCGACTCCCTCAAACTGCAACCTCCTAAACATACCCCTAATAACCCCACACTTCCTCTCCCTCTCATCATCCCTCCCCCTCATCTCCGTGCGCATCTTGCCATACATATTCTGGCCATCACCCCTCTGCCCACCCTCCTTAATATTCGTAAAGAACATGCGCCTCCCCGTACTATCCAACGGCTCCCACTTAGCAATCTTAACACCCTCCCTAGGAATAACCTCGTGTTCGCGGTTCGGATCAAGAAACTTGACAAAACTGATAAAGTAGTCCGAAATCTCGTTTTGGCGGCGCACCATGACTTGGCCGACGGTGCCAGCGTGCTTGGTGCCGTAGCCGTTCTCTATGTCGGGGCCCCACATTACGTCCCATTGGTATTGGTATGTGGGTACGGAGGGCGGGTTGTGCAGGGACATGGCGTTGGAGGCGAGGTAGGTAGGGCAGATGTAGCGGATGTCGCCTTGGGCTTTTGCGACGGCGTCCCACCAAGCGCCGCTGTCGGGCCAGTGGCGGTCGTTGGGGTAGGTTGATACGAGGGTGGAGAGGTCTTCGTCGGTGAGGAGGGGGTAGTGGTCTTTGAGGTAGGATTTGAATTCGCCTTCGTTATCGGTGGTCTTTTTGACTTGGTCGGAGCCTTCGTTCGAGGTGAAGCCGATGATGGTGGGGACCTTGGCGTAGCGGTCTGCCATTATGGCTGCTGGGGCGGGCGCTGTGAACATGCCGCCGGCGGGCTCGGTGGTTGGCGCCCACATCCAGCGTGGGGGTGTGTCGCGGCCGGGGAAGTTCATCGGGTAGTTCTCGTAGTAGAGGTCGCCTGTCGCTGCGTTGCGCACGCATGCGATGTCTGTGCAGTTCAGTCCATCTGCGACTTCGTTGTAGAACTTCTCGGCTTGGTCGGGGGTGAAGAAGGTCGGACTCGCGGGGGACTGGGCGATGGCGCCGTGGAAGAGCTGCTTGCGGCCTACACCCGGGACAGGGTGGTAGTTGTCGCCTTCGTTGGCCGTCAATTGTAGCATCACGGACGCGCCGCCAGCGCTCGTGCCCATGATGACTACGTGGTCGGGGTTGCCTCCAAAGTACCTGATGTATTTCTGGACCCATTCCAGCGCCGCTCTCTGGTCGCGCAGCGCATTGTTGTAGTCGCCGTCTTTTGCGATCTCTTTGCCAGAGAGGAAGCCGTAGATGCCGTTGCGGTAGTACATGGTGACTACAACGATGCCCTTGTCGAGTTTGCCGTCCACGCCCTTTTCACGTCGCGCCTTCTCTACCATCTCGCCTCCATTGCTGCGTCCTGGGAGATGGAAGCCACCACCGGGGATGTTGACCAAAACGGGTAGGTCGTCGCCTGCCTCAGCGTCAATCGGCGTGAAGACGTTCAAGCTCAGACAATCCTCGGTGGAACGAGTCTTGATACCCAGAACGTCCGGTCCTGAGATATCTTCCCTGTTTCGCTGGGTTGGATCAATCTTCTGGATTCTTGGGCACATGCCCAATGATCCATCCCACACCAGAGGCTTCTCACCTCGACCAACGCCATATGTCCTGTTCACCGGTTGTGGTCCGCGAAATCTGTTCTGGCCTCCTGCATCTGCGGCATATGGTATGTTCCAGTAGAACCTAACCTTGTCCGAGACGTTTGGCTTGATAGCTAGGTAGTCTAGCTCGACGATGTAGGGGTCTTCGGTGTTCTTGAGCGGCGCGGAGAAGGTGGAGGTAGGTTTCGAGCTGAGAGGTGGTAGCCATTCCGAGCTGGGACGTAGGTCGGGCGAGTAGAGGAAGGCGAACGTGAAGGCGAGGATAACGGCAGCCGTGAGAGCGAGTATAACGCGCCGGTCGAAGATGAGGCTCGAATTGAGCGGGCGAATTGCCATGGTGGGCGCGTATTGAAGGTTGTAAAAGAATGTAAAGTCGCGTACAAAGCGCTGAAAGACTAATGCGATGCCGTTGGAGTATGCATCTGCGTCTCGTACATGAAACTCAGGAAAGGAAAGACTGCCCACGGAGACAATGAAAGTGTCCTTCGGCGCTGTCGCAAGCCTTCCAAGCATCCATGGCTGCGAGTTTCCCTGTCTAGCCCGACGGGAGGACCGAAGAGGCTAAGGGGGCGGCAATCGGCACCATCCGCTTGGCGCTGACGCGTATCGCATTCCGTGGGAATGCCATGGCGACGCATCACGATGCAACCACGGTCGCGCAAAGAGCTGGAGAGGGTGGGAGGAAGCTTGGGAGCTACACGGAAGTTTTACGAGGTTTAAAGTTATCGACAGGGTCCAGAGCGCCTTCCCTCGGCTGGGGCGTATAGAGGTCAGCAACTAGCGTGCGATGCACCTGGCTCCAGTAGGACGCCTGCACCACGTCTCCTACAGCATGAGCCACATCTCCAGCCACTTCCAATTGATTGAGCGCATGACCTCAGGGTCGACCAGACATCTTTTCGATCGAGCATCGCACTCATTGGGTCTGCATTCCTGGATCTACACGAGATGCTGGCACCAGGCCTGCCTGCCGTATCCGTGGTGACGGCGAGTACTCCGGATCCTTCAGTCACCATGACGGCCCATAGAGACAAGTAAAGGCAGACCTCCAGGGAAGCCATGGCTTCACAGCATAGAACGTCGCCAGCCAGGTATAGTATCACCGCGATCTCGTTCATCAAGTCGGCAGCGCCGAACTTCTGCACGCGTGCTGTGTAGCAAGACGTTCCCTTGAAGCTATGATCTGGTATCATCTGTTGGAGTTGGCACGCCTTGAGCATACCATACATGATGACTTTGGGTTCGGAGGAGCTTATTGCGCTCTTACCGTCTCGCAGACGAGGTCACTACGGATCGCTAGCATGGTATGTGTGCTCGAGATATTGCGTCTTGACAGTCTCTCACCTTTACCTTGTTGTGTACAAAAGGGACTCAACTTTTAGCTTGCAGTCCCACCTTCAGTTGCGCTTGACCGCTGATACATAAGCCTTTCTTTTGACACTTTTCTTCCTCATCCTCCTCACTTCTTCCCCCATCTACCTTCGAGCTGTCTCGTCACTCAAACCTGCAGTCGTGAACGTGAAACTGCCGGCACGGGTGCGCTACTTCCCAAATGGATATCGACGACACCAAGACCCCTACGCCTGATGGCACAGAGTCACCTCTGTTCGAGCCTGAGGTACCAACAGAGCTCTTGGTACCAGATGTACCCGCTCTGGCAACGACTGACGCTACGGAGATAATCGATCTATCATCGCTGACCAACGAATCTACTGGAGAAGAGCAACATGCTTCACCGTACATCCAGAAGTTGAAGGTTCTTGAGGCCGATGCCAAACAAGAGATATCCAGCTGGGATCCCAAATACCTAAGTCAAGATCCGGATGTCACTACGGCTGCAGCTGTAGCGGGGACCAAGCGAAAAGGTATGTGTACAACGGGGCTTTGCGTCAATGAACTAACTTTGCCAGCTGCCGAAATGGAAGATGAACCAGACATTGATCTCGATGACGACGATTCCGACGATGGCGACGATCGAGTACCGGCTTATGACCCAGATCAACAAACCCGACCCAAATTGCCGCTCTACCATCCAGGCTTCACGCTTACAGAGTCTACTGCTAAAAACTTATTGTCGACTATCAACCAGTATATCACCAAGGCAATGAACAATGGATATGATGATGCAGAAGCGAAGCACCTGCGCAAGCAGATCTTGCGAAACAACAAGATTCCGTATCAGGAAGTAGTCCGAATATCTGTTGCTGGAGACACTGGAGCAGGCAAATCGGCTTTGCTAAACGCTCTATTGGGCGTGATCAATCTCAACGTCGAGGTAAGTTCGTCTGCAAGAATGCGAGTTTTATAATGCTAACCTGTTCTGGTAGAGTGACGGAGGAAGCGCTTGCACGTGCGTCATTACAGAATTCCAGCAAGCACCTCCGAGTCAGACCAAGGCATACGCTGCCGAGGTCGAGTTTTTTGATGTCACCATCTGCATAAAGATGGTCACCGACCTTTTCACGCAGTGGTACAACGTGAAGCAAAAGCAACGACAAGATGCAGATGACCTGGACGACAAAGAGCTGGATCAGATCAAGACAGCACGCGAATGCCTTCAAATTCTCTTCGCAGATCGCCTAGAGTGTGGAACTATCGAGAAGTTCCTATCGACGGCCACATCAGCCAAGGACCAGAAAGTCATTAAGCAGCTGACTACTTGGACAACGAAGATGCACCAGTATTTCGTCAAACCAGGCCAAACGTCAATTCACTTCGAATCTAGTACCCCGGAAAATCTCATTGAGATGTATCAACCGTTCACCAAGGAAGTTACAAACGCAAGCTTCCAAGAGAAGCCGTTGACCTGCTCTCCTTGGCCTTTTGTCAGAATCAACCGGTAAGAGATGGCATACTGCGTTCCAAATTATATGACTGACGTACTATAGGGTCTTTTCGAAGTCACCGATCCTTCAACAGAACGTTATCATTTCCGACGTTCCCGGAAGTTCTGATTCCAACTACTTCCGTAGAGACACTGCAGACCGCTATCTGCAGAGCTGCCAAATGACCATAGTCGTCGCGAAGATCGATCGCATCACGAACGACCTCTCCTTCCGCCAGAAGTACGTCGATGCCTTTCGACGAAGGCGAAGTGGTAGTGTTATCCTCGTCGGCACCAAGTCTGATGTAAGGCACTTGTAACTCAGTATCAGGATATGTACTAACAATTGCTAGATTCTGAACGACGAGATCAACTCTACGCTGAAAATGGACGTCACCGCTGAAGACCAACTAGCTGTCATCGCCAACAAAGTTACCGAGATCGAGAAAGATATCCAAAACATTGATAACACTATTCGTCACAACATGATCGACCGTAACACCACGGCAAACAAGCCGTTGAAGAAACGCAAGAAGAAGCTCACCTCGCGCAAGAACGACCTAGCAAAAGAGTAGGTTGTATCCAATACGTAACACGATCAAGAAGACTAATTTTTGCAGAAAAAAGGACATCCTCATCGTGGAGCGCAACAAGGAAGTGACAGTAGCTATGAGCGAAAACTATCGCGAGGACACCGGCGACGATGCTATCGCGGCCATCTACTGTGTGTCGAACCTTATGTACATGCGTCATCTCCGCGGGTACGACAAGACGGACCCCTTGTCTGTTCCGACCATGACGCTCGATCAAACACAGATCCCAGCTCTCTGCTCTCATGTCTATACTCTGTCTTCCCGCGGAAGGACTTCAGACCTGGATCATTTCGTCAGGGTTACTGTGCCTACGCTGTTGAACATCGTGCAGATGTCAGTTAGCACAACCACGTTGGCAAGGGTGAACCATCTTACTGGAATCATACAACTAGCTCGGAAGGTATTTGAATCAGTCATTAGTTCTTCGGGGATGAGAGACAACTAACGGTAACAGGACATTGACACATGCATCAAGCGACTAGCTATCAAATTTAACAAGACAGACATTAAGCTCCTCCACGATCAGCTAGCTGATCCTGCTTTGCAAACGAGATTTGACAAGGAGGCAATGAAGAAGCTCCTCGAGTGGGAGGATATGGTAAGCTGCGCCTTGGCTATACACATGTCCGTCTTTCTGCTAACACTTTGTCAGAATGCTGCCAGCCATAGGGCTGCATGTCGAAAGAAAGGTAAGCTGCCCTACCTCACATCAAGTAGCACATAAGGTACTGATCCACGGCAGGTATCTACGTGCAAAAGAAGAAATGTATTGCGATGGACTGGAACGAGGATTTCATGTGGCCTGTCCGACCATATATCGACGTTGCATTCCGAGCTATCATCGATGATTCATGCGAGCTGTTCAAAGCCGAGGCAACCCAAGACATCAAAGAGATTATAACAGCTCTGGACACCAAATTGAAGAGTAAGCTCCTTGCTCGATATCACTCAGCCTCGACTAATTACCTGGACAGACGATCCGAAGGCTTTAGCCTGTGATGCATACGGTGCTTGCTTCAAAGAGAATGTCAGCCTTTTCTTTGAGCAAATCGATCGGCATGTATCGGCGGCGGCAAAGATTCTCAAAAACGGGATGATGTAAGTGTATTTTTGCTGAGGAATGAGATGCACGGTCGCTAATCTACCTGCAGCAAAGTACACCTCCGCGCCATCAAACTACGCAGCGAAGGCGATTACTTTCCACGGGCAATGTCGAACATATATACTGTAGCCACCGCCAAGCAGGCTGCGGGTAAAGGTATGTCCACCCTGATACACGCGCGCTCATCGACTAACTCCACAATGTAGGCAAGACCATGAAATTGGCCCGTCACCAGTACCTCCGAGAAGCCATTCCCGGTCCTATGGGCCCCTTTGCTCAGATCGCCAGCTACGCAAAGGCCGATGCAGAGAAATCCATCAAGCGTGCCGGTGATGAGCTTAAAAAGAACTTGAACGAGATGCTGCAAAACGTTCAGACGGATTTCGAGCGTATGAAGAACCGAAAGGACAACGACACAGAGCAGGGCAAGGCGTTTCGAAAGCAGCTCCACGAGCTGGTTGAAGAGGCGCGGAGGATTCTGAACGGGGTTACCCAGGAGAGTCTCGACTTGTGCAAGCAGTACAAGTGAGTCGGAGAAGGCAGTCTGCTATGGTGGAGGAGGTCGGACTGGCTTTGCGCTACTTGGACGGGATGGGGAAATGCGGAGGGGAAATGGCTAAGGATGGTACTCATGCTGAGGCTGCCGGGCGGCGCCTTTGCATGCCTCGAGGCCTTGGTGGCGTTGATGCTTGCATATTCCATCTGCAGAAAAGCAGTCGCCAAGGTACTTCGTGTCGGCAAAATCGCGACATGGCTTCTGCGGACTGCTTGGTACGAACAGGTCTTCTAGTCTATGCTATCATTACTTCCACACAAATGCACAATTTCTTTAGTCAAAGAGTCGCATGACTGTGAGCATTCAGCGTTGCTGTGATCACCCGGCGTCTGATTCTTTAGAATTCCGATGGAAGCTTCTAGCTCATTCCGTGATATGGGAGTTAGGGGCTGCAACAGATTAGGTTGTCCTTAATGTATTAATGTAAACCTAGTTTTATTTACTAAGGCGCTAGTCTAGAAGTAGATTTTTTCCTCTTATAACGCTACTCTTTTATATAAATAGTAAATATTATAAAAGCTTAAAACTAACTTATAATACTAGCTTTAACTACTTTAACTATCTTAAACTAGTTATATACTAAACTTAGTAAGTAGTATATTTACTAAACTTACTTTTTACTACTATACTTTTTTTAAAAACTTTTTTTTAAAATTTATTAGCTACTACTTAGTAGTAAGTTAAAAAAGTAGTATTTTAATTATAGCTATCTTTTACGTATAAAAATAAAAATAACTTAGTACTATAATATTAAAAACTCTACTTTAAAGTATAAACTAATTATATACTATTATTAAGCTACTTAAATATATATAAAATTATTTTAGCTACTTTTATATTTTAATAAAGTAGCTATACTTTTTTTATTTTTAATTTTTTAAGTATTACTTTAAAAAAAGTAAGTAAGTAGTAAAAGATTTTATACTATAGTAAATAATTAAAATATAAATATAAAAATAATACTATAAAATTATTAAAAAAGCTAAAAAGTTAATAAATAATAAACTAAGCGTTTATTATTATAATAATTTAGTTATTTATTATTATAATAAAAAGTTTAAGAAAAAGTAGTAAACGTGTATTTTATAAACTTACTAGTTAAGCTTTAACTCTAGTTCTATATAAGCTATTATAAAACTTATTATACTAACTTATTATAATAACTTATTATATATTTATTATAGAGTTATTCTTAGCTACTATAAGTGTATATAAAAATAACTACTTTAAATAAATAGCTTAGTAAACTACTATTACTAAATATCTTTTTTTTTAATATATATAACTAAAGTATGTAAAAAGACCTCTTAGGCTTAAGCGCGAAAGACAGAGAGATTAGGTTGTGCGTATAGAGGACCTTAGACTAGTCGCGATCAAGTTAGTGTTGGCCTTGACCGGTTTCAGGCAGACATCACATGGCGGCCACCAATCAGCGTTGAATGACGTCCGCGGGTTTCTGTTCTCAGTCCGGCCAGCGCAACACTTCAGCTGCCATATCTATGGCATGCCGCCGCCTTTTGTCCTACCCTCTCTCCCATCAAAACAATTTGCGCAAAACCGAATCATCTTCTCACCAAGATCGTTAGCAGCTTAGCTAGACCTTTATCTCGACCAAGAGGGCGGCGAAGCCGCCCCGGGCCGTACTTAGCCGGACCCTACGATTGACAACACCATCAACGCACGCGCATTCCCGTAGATCTCAGCAACGCTTGAGGTCTCCGCTCATCCCTATCAACGACCATCAATAGCTGAGGCGGCCTGGGTATAGGCCGCTTACGCCATCAACTGCACCCACTAGTACGCATCCCGCCCCATATATACAGTCTGAGATGCTAATGGTACGATAGTGATCATCGCTTAGAACAGTTCGGTTACTGTTCATTCTGTGCAGCAGGAGACCAACAATACCATCCTGATGACCCAATACACGGATCAGCCTCGTTCGCCGCGCTTCAGATACCTGGTGCTTTTCGGGAAGATAATCATGAGTGTTCACAAAGTGACTTGCTATGGTGGACGGATTGTACAGTGAACCCTGTGGATGTGGAAGGCTATCCAGCCTTCAACACCTGCGAGAGTGTTCCTTTGGGAACCTCTGTTTCTGAGTCTTTCGACTTGGAAAAGTTCATTGACATCGATCCGTTAACCTGGCCTGCTCACGAACCTCAAAACTTCCCTACACCAGAGATCAGTGCGTCGGCCGATGACGCTATGGCCGAGAACTCCCAATCGCACTTTCACAAGAACTTCACAACCCCGACAATCTCCCCCGCTTCCATGAACCATTTCTCCGAGGTTTCAGCCCCAGGCACTGCGTTAAGGCTGGCAACAGATCGATATCCAAGTATTTCGACTCCTGTAAGCTCCGAGCCCAGGTCATCTAATTCTACAAGTCCCCCTAGTAGTGGCCTGGGTTGTGACGACGCTTTTACTGGCAAGAGAGAAATCAGCTCGGTTTACATGGTTCAGTCATGCCCAACATGCAAAATTAGCTTTACGAAAGAGGCTCATTACAGGCACCACCGACGCCACCGCAAATGCACTGCTCTCCTATCGACAAATCAATGCGACGCCTGCCAGCGAGTCTTCACGCTACCAAAAGACCTCCGAAGACACCAGAAGCGATCCTGTACTGTGCAGACAGTTAGGGAGTCTTTTCCATGCTCAATTTGTGAGCGTTCATACCTTCGAGAAGACTCGTTGAGGCGCCACGTACGGGAGGTGCATGCTAAGAAGAGCGGCTAATACTGTCGACACCATCCACATAAGTTCTGCGAATCACGATTGGAGGTCAAAGCGATCTCGTCTTATTGGAGAAGAGTACCGGGCCTAGTACCAAGACTCAGGATGCTCCTGCTGCCGAATGGACTCGACCATGTCAGCATGATCATAGCTCGAAATCCTCCATGTATGGAGGTGCGCAAGTATACCTCGGGGCGTTGAGGACTGTGCCAGAGCCTTTTTGATGTAACCGTCTCGGCGGGGAAGCGGAGTAGTAAACCGTTTCCACATCATCGAAGAGGTGAAAAAGACCATCTGGCATGGAGGGTATGCGACCGTTTTGTTTGTTGTTTCCTTCACGTTCAGTCACTCATTTTCTTCCTCGACTTGTTGTCATTTTCATCACAACTACTCTTCATCCCCACAAAAGCGCACCAGAGGGCTCAATTCACATTGAGTCAGGATATTCCGGTCATTTACGTGCGTATTCTTTGTAAGATGTTGCCTTTGGTATAGGGCCTGCCCGTTCATTGGCAGTTGAGATGATGCTGACTTCTATTCTACCTTTCGTGCCATGATGCACAAAACCCATTACTTCGTTGTATATTTTAAGAAAAATAAAACTCAAAAGGCCTAAAACTTCACGTTTCCACACCCTGACATTTTGTTCGAGATCAGGCGGGTGTCTGCTGGGCCAGCCTTCTGACCAGCCTTTCACTACGCCGCTTATCTCTCTGCTTCTTAGACTTCTTCTCACGCACTTTCTCATTGATTTGCTCAAATATACGGGCCTCTTCCTCTTTTATTTGCTGGCTCAAAGGTGGTGACTGCGGGTCGTGATTGGTCGTACCCAACACCTCAGCGTACGTAGGTATACTCGAAAGTCGATGTGGGTGTCGAAACTGCGTCCTTGTCCGACTTATAATCCCCTTCAGCTTCGGAAAATCCTCCATTTGCAAGCGGTATTGCGTTACAGGCTTTGGAAGTCGTATCACCAACATGCGTCTCTCCCCGTACCAGAATCGCCCCAAACAATGATCACTTTTGTACACACGCTCCTGCTTCCGTTTCGCATATGTAACCGAGTTGCCAGAAAGGTCTGTCAGAAACGAATGAAGCTCCAGCTCTGGGCTGGGTCCGTGCTGATGATGAATGTCGGTGACGGCGTATACATCGGCATGGGAATCGTTCCGCAGGAAAGAAGAAACGCACCAGTGCGACTGGAGTATCAAGCCCTCGGGGAGGAAGCGATCAAGCTGTCCGTTGAGAGTTGACCCACTCCCCCACAGGAGCCTCATGTATGCAGCAGGCAATTCTGCGTTGCCTAGATCGGCAGGTATCCGCTCTTGTATCCTGGTTAAGCTGCGCTGAGACTGATATGACTCACAACCCTGTTTATCTTCTTCGACACGCAAGAGAAGTGGCTCAAAATACTTGTTCAGCCTGCGAGCTCGTTTCACGGAGACCAGAGTCCTCTTCCTGTCGTTGTGTCGCTGCCGCGTTGGAGATCGGATGAAGGCTTGAGGCAGCCAGAGTGGAGAGTTGTAGAAAGACTGATCGCTACATCTCAAGATGACTCGTATTCTCGAGTCAGACATCGTGACTCTATTGCATCGCCTCCACGGCTTACTCAGCCCCGCACCTTCCTTCCAGGCTACGAGAGCTTTGCGGCCCTTCAAGTGCTCATTCGCCGATTTGAGAAGGAAAGATATGCTGAAATCCGCACGAACGCGCTTGACTGGTAAGTCTTTAATATCCACAAAATTGAGACGATCTTGTTGTGCTATGGCGTCGCTGGAAGCGATGAGACGCTGTCGCGTTCGTCCCTTACGAATGCATGGAGTCTCTCTGCAAGGGAATCTGAACTGATGCACACGTTGAAGCAAGTTCTGTTTTCCATGCCGATAGTATGTAATTGAGATACTTGACCACGGGTCCTTTGCATCCCGCCGCGCTGAACTGAGCACACCTGCAGTCTCGTCATACAGCATTGCAAACTATTTCAGTCTTAGTACTAAATGTCGACGCCAGCTTATTGAAGAACATACAAGTCTGTCCAGTCTGTCCAGATAAAACTTGGATTTGCGCACGTAATATGCAGAATCCAAGGCGTCGTACCATGCGTCATAGTTGGGAACACCAGACGTCCCATCGATGTGCTCCTGGGATTCTTCGCTAACATATGGATACAGTGCGGGACCCTGTGATGTTTCTGGTTGTGTCCATGGCCGCATCCAAGGTTTATCGTTCAA